ACCTCCAGACCTACTAATCAGCTTGAGAATTATTTAATTACAAACCCACAGCTAAATTCAAGGTTTTCGGCACACATAAGCCTGCTTTGTTTTCTACATGGGAGGAAATATGGAATCTAATTTAACACTTTTCGCCTTGGCAGTGGAGAGTATGCTGTGGCACTAATGTACTGCCTGCCACCAGCGACATACCTTAATGCCAGTGTTTACTGGACAACTTCATGAAATTTGCACTCCTACTTTTTTTTCATGCTGCAAGATGGGGTCAGATCTCAGTGTGCCTCCAGCATCCTTCCCTCCTTCCTTCTCATCTGCTTCTCCAGAGTCCAGGTGAGATTTACACAGCCTCTTCTCCAGCAGCAAAGAAGGGGATGGATTCAGGCTGAGGACGCCTTCTGCAGTGCTGAAGCAAAGTGCTGCGTGACACAAGGGGGCAGCCACTGATCCCAGGAGGAGTAATCCTGGATAGACAGCCAGAGGAAGGGAGAAGAAAGGCAGCTCCCTGCCTAGTCACAAAATTTATTTTGAGGTCAAAAGTGCTCCCAAATATAGAATCAAAGAATCATTTGGGTTGGAATGGACCTTAAAAAGATCATCTAGTTCCAACCCCCCTGCCATGGGCAGGGACACCTTCCACTAGACCAGGTTGCTCAAAGCCTCATCCAGCCGGGCCTTGAACACTTCCAGGGATGGGGCATCCACAGCTTCTCTGGGCAACCTGTTCCAATGCCTCACCACCCCCTCCGTGAAGAGCTTCTTCCTGATACCTAATCTAAACCTCTCCAATTTCAATTTAAAACTGTTACCCCTTGTTCTGTCACTACAGGCCCTTGTAAATATATAAATATAGTTGGAAGTACTTGACAATACTAAAAAAGTAACGTGGGAGATCAAAACAGTATTGCTCACTAGTGTAAGTCACTGTATGTGCTGTTAGTGTCACAGAGGGATCCTAGAAGAGATTCCTGGCTGAGGCACAAAAACCCTCATGGCACTTCCCATGAGAAAACTGGGAAGTGAGAACCTTAGGTCAAATATGAAACTGCACCTTGAAATGATCTAAAATCATGTTACTGCTGCATGAGATGATTCAATACTTTTCCTGACATTCCCAAATTCCCTCCAAATCATGTAATTTGGGATTTTTCATTTATTCTAGCACTTGCGCTCAGCCAGGTGTACAGCTGGGCCCAGAGAAGAATGGCACTGCTAGCATAGAAAACAGAAACGGGACTTTCACACCTAGAGATTTTTTTGGGGGGTAACCAGGACACTCCCTTTGCAACACCATGGGCAAAGCCAAGAGTGAATCCACACCCGTACAGACAAGTCACATCATCTACACAGCAGCTCGTCCACAGCTCATCTGTGCATGCTCTTGTCCCACAGTGGGGAAGCCATCTGAATGTTTTTCCTCCATGGCTAAGGTAAAAAAAAAAAGTCACTTTAATTATTCTGATTCTTTAACACAAGGTCAGACATAAATCACAGTAAAACTCAGCCATATTAGCACCCAACTGCAAAACAAGGCTGATAAGACAGGTTCCCGGCATCGATCCCAGAGAATTAAACCAGCAGTGAAAACACTGCAAATCCAAAGACTTTCCTTCTTTCTGATAAGCCAGATCCAATAAATGAGAAAACCAGAACCAGTCATCTTTGACACGGGCCATTTGTGCTGTATCAGAACCACAAGCGCACCTCTGTTACGTGCCTTCTGCTCAGGGAGAGGGACACAGAATCACAAGAAGCCTGTCCGACATTTTCAAGAGGAAAAGGTCAACACGCTGACTATTTATAACAGCACTGCCTCTTTTGCAGCTACCTGTTTACTTTGCTTTATTTATTTTACTCCATGACATAACATAAATAGGCAATAGGAAAATGGGAGAGGGGGCATGTGTGGATTTCGAGCTGCTCTCCCATCTCTCTGGCAAAAATCTTCATTAGGCAAGATGGCTGTGTATCCAAGCTGGCAATTCTCACATCTCTCCATCTTGAGCAAAGCAGTTAATTTGTTAACATCACATCTTTATTTGTGCTTTGTAAAAACCAGCCTGTTGGCAGGATTTAATGAAGCAAAGAAACAGCTGGATTGAAAGGCTATTGGCAGTCTGAAAATAGAAGCTGATGGTTGTATTCCTTGAGCAGCTGGCTCAAGAAATCGGTTTGTTCCATGCACATTTCTTTCCAGTCTTCCATGAAACCAAATAAAGCCAATAAAACACAATTTCTACCCCGTCAGATGGCTGTGAAAGATGGGATGATAACCTAATGGAGGCTGATGATTCACAGTGTAAGATGAGTTATAGGAACTGGCTAGTGATAAGGGACGGATCACTTCATAGAGTCAAAAGTTATCAAGAGCAAATAATTGAAAGCCGTGAACAAAAAAAGTAGTTTTAACAGTACAATAACCAGAAACTGGTGACATCTAAAAGAAAAACGCAGCAGGTCAAAAACCGCAACAATTTCCTGTTGGTTCACAGTAATCATTTGAACCTAAGGAAAACACCAGAGCTTTGTGGCAATACAACTTCACAAACATCAGCACATCCCAAGGCAGACCAACCTGTATCCATGGCCCGGACAAGAACCATGTGTCTTGTCTCCTCTTAACCCTGCCTAAAGGCTTCCCAGAAAGTTTTGAAAGAATTGCTGGTGTCCAGCTGCCAGGCCACAGACTATCACTGAGAAGTGAGGTTTGGGAACCAAAGCTTGGGCCACTGTCAAGACCCACGTCTCTGGCTCCTCTCAGTTCAAGTTGGCCTAGTTGTAAGAGCCTTTTTCTTTCAAACTTTTCCATTCTTTTTGAAATGAAAATGACTTTTGCAGGTTTTGTCCTCCCCCCAGCTCATGCAAGAGACTTTCACCAGGATCACTGCCAAATGGTAAAGCAAGTTTAATCCTGGAAATGCCTACGCTCTTAGCTGACATCCTAAAAGCTATGTAGTATTTTGCAAGTGTGTTGAGGAAAGGTTTTTATCCCTAGGTACAAGCAGTAGAGGGAATAAAACAAGCACCTGCTCCTTATGTCTACTTTAAGGCAAGAGGAGTGTTGATACAGAATATGCCCCATCTCCAAAACACATAAAAACTCAAGTCTTAAATATGTTTCTATGTGCTCTTTTTATTATCTGGAGAGAAACAAGTTTAAAAAATGACCTGTTGGAATTTGCCAATAGCTAAAGCATCTCAGTTTGTCTAAATTAAATTAAAAATTCCTCAAAGAATACCCAAAAAACAATGAATATGATGAGCCTATCATTTACAAATGGAAACCAGCAAACAATGCAGCAAAAAAGTATTGCAAGTATCAGTATGTATTATGGCTGCTAGTGTGGATATTTTATTAATAATTAACACACATATCTAAGAATCCAAAGTAAATAAAACAGTGGAAAACACAGCTCTGGTTTTATGTCTTGTAGTTTTGAATTAAATACACACTCTGCTGCGTTAAAAATAGCATTCTGTGGGCTTTGCCTTGAAAAGCTGCCTGTGTTTCAGGGGAAGCAAGGGTTTCATTTCAGATATGGGTTAGTAACATCCCAAAAATTCCAAGGGGAAGGCTCAAAGTTAAAGGACGTTCGCTCACACAGCAACAGAACGGAAACAAAGAACATGTGCTTTCAGGTTTTTGAAAGAACACCATGCTAATTTAAGGAGAAAGAAAGAGGGAGAGGGCACAAGACAGCTCACAAGTCCAGCACTCCCCTGCCTGAGACACTTCTTTACCAGCAAAAGCAAGAAACGAACAGCACCACAGAGATCCAACACGGCTTCTTTAAGGGTTGTTTCATGATATACTTATCTCATTTTTCCATTTACTTTTTCTCTTCTAAAAAGATTTTCCCCAGACACCAGCTGCCTCTAGCTCCGTATTTGGATTGATTTAATTATAAATAAGGCTGACTAAAGCTAGGAGTTTTCAGTTGAATGAGTAAGCTTTAAATAATTTCTTTCTTAGAGAAACTGGTAGACTTAATTTGCTTTTCGTTTCAATTACACACCAAAACAGTACCTCTGTGTTCACAGAATAAACACGATCCATTTCATTCATGCCTATTCCATGGAGATCTATGTGTTTCTGATCTATCACTCAGAAAGGTTTAAGTTGCATTATACGTAAGAGTTGCAGTTCAAGTGAGCTTTCCCTAAAAGATCAAAACTGAGAACAACCCTTGTATCAGGCAAGATAGCTGAAAGGAAAATCTGTCTCCTGTAATATAAAATGTATCATAACTATGAAATGTATCATTTTTAACTATGAACATTTAAAACTCTATTTTAACTATAAAATGTATTATCATTAACTATAAAAATTATCATTTTTGCACAAGACACATACAGTTGAATAACAACAGCTCAAGGTTTAGGTCTCATTTTTTCAATTTACAACTTAAAAAATGTTCGTGCATGACAACTATTTTGCACACATCACATGCTTAAACACATGCAAAAGATGGAAACCTAATTTTAATTGAAGCAATCTTCTACTTTATCTTTTCTAAAAGATGAACTGCAAGGAAGGGCAAAGGCAGCTAACTAAATAATGATATTTAACAGTAATACTATTTCTACATTATGTTTAGACCATGTAATTGCACAACACTTTCCTAGGAAAAGGTATAAGGTAGAAGACAGAGCTTCTTTGAGTAAATGAAGCTGTTTCACAGTCTGAAATCTCTGGTCAAGTATTATCTAGGAACTATGGTACAGCTCAGGAGAACTTCCACAAGGCCAGGGCATGAAACACTTCTTCGGTCACATTAAGAGTAGCGTCCACAAAGTACTACAGGGATCACTGAAATCCTTGAGACTGAAGGCTTCATATTAATACAAATAAACAAAAACTGCATATTTTTGTTTCTTGTAGCAAGACATGCCAGCTGCATCAACACAAGCAAGCGGAAGTCCGTCAAACTAGCAGCCTGCTGGCCTTATGCAACACCACATCTCAGCCAACACACTTTGGCAGTTTGGGTTTTTTACTGTACCAAAAGTACTGGTCGTCTCTGGTGATACTACCTCCTTCGCTGGCTTCTCAAGGGGTACCAGTGGTTTAGGGTATCTGGATGCTACAACGAGTTTTCAAAAGCAAGACAGCAGTAAGTCATTACTTTTAAAATCTTCCGATTGATACTGGAGTGTCCACCAGCAAGGAAATAGCCTTTATAACACTAGGGCAACTGGTGTTCTCTAGGCCTTGCACCCGTTCTACCTGGACCTTTGCAGGCTCTCCTCTGCAAAAACATACGGCAAAGTTCCTGCATTTAAGCAGAGAACTCTGACTAGAGCCCTCTTTAAGTTACTATGCGGAAGTAAAGTTTCAGAATATGGAAGAAAACCAAACCACACGAGCAAAACCTCCTAATACCTAAGTACTATACGCATGGCCCTGTCGCCAACTACCACCTATATTAGCACAAACAGAAGAAGCCTCACAAATGAGTTTAAAGCAGAAACACAGTAGTACCAAATTTATTCAGTTCAATTTTATTATATTTTTTCTATATAGTCAACATTTCCGTAAGATACTATGCATGTATGGAGATGACATGATGAAAAATTCAACTTCCCCAAGCTACCCGAATTTGCAGTTTTATCGTAACTTAAAAACAAAGTCCAAATAAATCATACATATTCACCTGAAACAAAGTTTAATGTAAAGGAGCATTACAATAAAGACATGCAGCATCTGTATGTCTAATACAACACAGTAACTGCTAGAATGAACAACAGAAACAAAGATTTTCTACTCAAGAAGCACAAGAACACCCAAGAGTGTATTTTAAAGGTGACATTTTGTTCACACATTTTGTGTTTTGGAGTTTTGGGATTTGGTTGGGGTTGTTTTGTTTGGGTTTGGTTTGGGTTT